TGCATTTAGTCGGTCTGTGTGGACAATAGGACAGAAATTGTCATGTTGGTGGTTACACAAACTAGGTCATGGAAGATAATTTTTTGTTTAGTGTTCGTTTCCCCAAGTATATCTGGCATTTTTTTTTGGTTATTAGCTTTAAAAAGAGTTCATGCATTTAGTCTGTCTTTGTGCACAATACGATAGAAATTATCTTATTAAAGGTTTTTGAAGTGTAGGCTAACTGGTATCTTTTAGTCATGCAATTTGTTTAAAGATCTCATTCAGCCTTGAATTTGCATCTGTATTACTGCCTGTGAATTTTTTTTTTTTTATCTCAATTATGACAGCAGTGAGCTTTAGGTTTCTCCCTCGTTCCCATTCCTTATAGGAACATGTTGTAGAATCAAGCTATTGTTTTCTGAGTATAATTTTTAGTGGCCACCATAAGAAGTTAGTTAGGATTGAAGTGAAAGCATTAAATTTGTATTGATGAACCACTGTTAAGTTCGTCATTTGGAAACCCATTGTTGGTTCAATGAAACTAATAAATGAAGTGAACGACAACAGAAATTGTTTGAAAGAGGTTGAAAATTTTGGTAAACTATGATGGGAGGAATGGACAGAATTGTTGGAAAGAAAGAAGAAACTGTGCCTACCAGTTGTATGGTTTGGTCCGTTTAGTGAGCGCGAAATAACTAATAAGTAATCTTATTATGGAGTCACACATATAGTTAGCAGTATCCCCTACACAACTCTTTACTTACCTTGGAGAGGTATGAAAAAGGTACTGATTGGCTACAATTACGAGGCATACTTTCTTTGGCTGCCAGTTGAGCTAAAATCAAACATGCTGAGCCAAACGGAAACTCGCTTTCTGATCCCTTTCAATATAGAGGTTGGCCTAAAGTGTGTTTGAGTCTATGTAAGCTTAAGTCAACAATATGAAATTGGAAATGAATGTGAGTTGAGGAGGATTTTTGACAGGCTCCACTTGAATTAGTCTTGATCTCTGAAGCACGGACATGCTGCCGGAGACAACGTACCCGTGTCCGACACGTATCGGACAGGGGTACGCCTCCGACACGTCGCCGACGCGTGTCAGAGTTCCTTGCGACGTGTCGGAGGCGAGAAAATGCAGATAGCTTGAAGAAATCAGTGAGAAAAAATTGATGGGAGGGAATAAATGCTTCTGAAACAAACCAGGAATTAGATGGGAGGGAAGAAATGTTAGCTTGAAGGAAGAAACCACGGTGGGCAAGAAGCCGTCGATTGTTCTGGCACGAAATGCATCTGGGAAGGGAAGAAGGAAAGAAGAAAGGGGGAAAAGAAAAAGGAAAAGAAGAAGGGAAATGCCTGGGGAAGGGAAAGAAGAGGAAACGTGGGGGAAAGAGGACGTACCTGGGGAAGGAAAGAAAAGTGGGGAAGGAAAGGAAAGGAAATGACAATATTTTGACATTATTGGGCCCACCATTGTAATTTGTTTTGCTAGAAACGTGTAATTGACGTTTTTCTCATCAATGAACCTAGTTCCAGCTGTATTATTTGACAAAAAAAAAAAAGGTAAAATTTTATTTGAAATCAATTTTTTATCTTTTTACCCTTCAAAATAAAAAATCAAACTTGTATTACCCTTCAAAATAAAAAATCAAA